ATATATAGAGAGGGAGAGAAAGAGAGAGAGAGAGAGAGAGAGAGGGAGGGAGAGAGACATTGAATACAATAAAATTTAATAAATTATTATGAAATTATAAAATATTTTATTAATTTTATTTAGGCCATGAAACAAGTGATAAAATTGTTTAGGTCCGTGTATCTATTTTTGTAACAGAGTTATTTTTGGTGTACTAGAGATAAAAGAGCTTCTTTTTGCAAAATTTCGAAGAGCACTAAAAATAAATTGCGCATTAATTGGCATTTGGTGAAAAAAAAAGTTCTTCCGCCGTCTTAAAATTGAAAGAAAATTTAATTACCTTCACGATAGATAGCGCATATATGAATGAAATTATTAAATATTATAAATGAAACGTACATTGTTTTGCTGAGACAATTAATTTATTTCTTTTTTATTAATGTAGTATTTAAATTTAAAATTTTATCACAAGTGTGATTCTCAGGCAGAGTATAAAATCAGTTTCATTTGTCTGCTAATGAGCAACTGGCAACAGCTTTGCACCAAAATATATATTTGCTATCTTTAATCACAAAAACAGCTAGGTTTTGTTTTCTTCTTCATTATGAAAATGTAGCAGTAGCAGTTTTTCCTATATTGGATGAGTCTAGAGAAAAACAAAGTGTTTATTGGCGAATGTCGTTAGAATTAGATAGCAAAGAAAGATTCTAGGTTTTGAATTTTTTTATTATATCAATACAAATTCAAATATAGGCTATCATAAGAAGTATAACCTGGCATAACTCGAATACCAAAAGCGTTAGAAAAAATTGGAAAGAAAATACTTAAAAGCTCCGTCCCCGTTTTCTTATTCAAATTTCTATCAACTTGTGTATTTTTCAAGCCACTTGTTTCTTATTGTGTGTAAAGAAAATTATGTACGCAAATACAGAGAGAAACTTTCACATTGCTTGCTGTTTAAGGAAATCAATGCTTTGCTTAAAGCTGCAATGAAAAAACAATGAAGAACCTATTTTAAGTGAAAATCGTCGTAGATTTAATTGTAATATTAGCAAAATAAAATGAAATTGTTTTTTTTTAAGTAAACAAAACTTTTTGAAAGGTTTTACCTCAGATGAATATTTTACTCCGTTGCACAAAAATGCTTATAAATAACTTTGCACATTGTTGTTGAATACAATCATGAATAATTTAAAGGTACGATCCACAACCGAAATGGCTCAGGGGATAGAGCTTTCGCCTTCCAGTGAGTTGAACCGGGTTCGAATCTCAGAAATGGCTGGCTGATAAGAATCCGCATCCGGCTTTCACCTACCACAGTGCTAACGTTAAATATTTTTCAGTGGTAGACGGATCATGGGTAAGAGTCCCTTTGCCGTTAGGCTAAACGTAGGAGTTTCTCGTGGTCTTCCTCTCCATATAACGCAAATGCGGATTAGTTCTTTCAAAAAGTCCTCCACGAAGGCAAATTTCTTCCAATATTAGATCGAGGAGTTCTCCGGTCTTCTGGATTGGATTCAAAATTGCAAGGCTACGAAGTTGAGCATTAGTAGTCGCAAACCCGAAAATTGGGTTGACTAACTGTTATAACGACAGTTATAAAACGACGGTTATTAAAAAGAAGAAGAAAAAGATACTATACAAGTGAGAACTACAAATTATTCAAAACTATAATTGAGACTATGTAAGAAAATAATCCATTATGTACAACTGATTTACATGCAAGCAACGGGGAGTTTCACGGTGGCTGCAGCATAAAACCCAAGCAACGAATTATTTTTGAATTGTTTTTCAACAGGAATGATGCAGTTTTCTTGTTTTCTTACTCAATAGAAACTGGTGATATGAACTTATGTCATACAGGATTAAGATACCAAATCTACAAGATTTATACACAAACCAGCTTTAATATTACGGCAGCATATCTCACAGTCCTTTGATCGTATTAGGCTTCTAACTACTGATAATTTTAAGTCAGCTTTTGAGAAAATGATTCCTTTTAACTTTAGCATACTTAAAGGTGGAACATGTGCTTTTTAATCTGAAAATTTTATGGAGCATGTGATAGCAAAAATGTTAAAAGATTTTCCATTTCTCAGGTTTTAATTTATTGAGCATCAGTTGGGTGATGCCTAACTACGATGATCTAGTATGTCATATTATAAGAGTGAACTCTCATGAATATTCTTATTGTGAGTGCTTCAAGTACATAATAAATTCAGTACATAATAAATTCAGTAGAAAATTCCCCTTTTTCTACTGAACATAGGCAGATTATTAATGAGGAAAATATGACATTTTTTAGAACACTATTCCTTGTGTACTAAATAATTTAATGAATTACAAAAAACACTTTCAATGTGCATGTTGAAATATCTTCTGTTTATCAATTAAATGTAAAAATATGTTGTTCTAGATTGTGTTCAATTGCTAATAGAATAAATTATTTAATGAATGTCAAAAACGAATATCACAATCTAACATTTGAAATGAATTCAGACAAGCAGGGGTGGACAAAATAATGGAAACATTTTTATACTAATATATTTTTATTAATATTTCTCCAGAAATATATTTAAATAATTATTTTATAAGTTCAGAAAAGTATATTTTTTTACGCCAGATTTCTTTCCTTATTAAATCACATATTGGTGTATGAATATTTACTGTAAGGTATTATAATTTGTTATTGAATTTTTCCTTATGATGCAAAATAATATTTGTAGAATACTT